CCAGAGACACACACACACACACACACACACACAAAGAGAGAGAGAGAGAGAGAGAGAGAGAGAGAGAGAGAGAGAGAGAGAGAGAAACAACATCATTAGGACTGGAAGAAGACATTACTACCCATCATGCAACCATGAAGAGTGTTGTCATACCACACTGCCTGGTATATACCATGAATTCATATTTTCTCTAACTTCACAAATTAAACAATGATGCTCCTCTGTTTTTTGTGTTAAAAGTTGTTCATTGATTCCATGTAAACATTTAACACAGACCATTTTAAGAAAATTTGTGGGAGCATGAATCAATGGAAGTGGCGCAGGTGTCCCCCAGCCTCTCTGGGACCTGCCTAGCCAGAGGTCAGCAAGCCATCGGGGACCAGGCTCTTCCTTACACCATCCAGTCTCATGTGCAGCCAGAAGGATCCGGTAAGAGGATGAAGCATAGGAAATAGAAACTCTGTTCTTCCTGGGGCCCAGTGGAGCCAGATACACATTACTCAAGAAAGTTGGCAGGTTCAGGCAGTGTTGGTGGCAGTCAATGAGGAACTGAATTCAGATGCTGGGAGCCCTCACTCAGTAGGACTGGACCTCTTGTCACTTGACTGCAGGTCACCAAGGAATAAAAATACGGAGTTTCAAATAATAAACCAAGAACACATTTGATCCCAACAAATTGGAATCCCAGCCTTGTCCTCTGTGGTCTCCTTGGATGGGAGACATTCCTACTTGGGGTAGCTAGCCATGCTGAGTAGATAACTTCAGATCATAGGCTGTCCCTTCAGGACTACAAGCGACTCTATATGATGCTTGATCATATGAGGACTGAACCAGCGGTCAAAGCAGCTTAGACCCCAATGTGTGTCAGAGAGCTAAAGTCCTGGACTGCCTCTCTCCACCATGTGGTTGGTTTGGGGACAGTTTTTCAGTAAAGAAGTGATCTCAGAAAGTACATGGCCACAAAATGAGCACATGCATGCAGCAAGCAGGTTGTTCTAGCATATAACAAGCAGCCCACTCACACTGCTGGCTATGGAGTAGGCTCAGTCCCATCTAGCCTCACACTGGGCCCTCCATGTAGTGACCCTACCAGGACACAGTGAGTGTCCTGCTAAACGGTGTGGGAGCTTTGAAAGGTCCTAGCCTTTGGGGCCTAAAACTTGGGGTAGAATCCTTCCACTGAGTAGGAGTAACTAGCCTTATGAGTTCTTGATTTCTACAATTGATAGTCAGAGGCTGTGATGACCATCTCAGTGGAGTATGGGAAATAACATGAAATGACAGGTGAAGCCTCCTCCTTCCTTCACTCCTGAGGTTACTGGAGTGAGTCCTGGCTTGTGCAACCTTGCAGTTCCCATGAATCTCTGCATAACACCCATATCCTTGGCTACTTTCTATTCGGTTTTCCTCTGTTCCTGGGTCATCTTTCCTTTTGTTTCCTTTTCATCATATTTCTACCCGGCAACCCTCCCAAGGTCTCCTATTCTGCCCACAGACCTACATTTCCAGTCGCTGTCAATCCACAAGAGGAACCCACTGGGCACAGGAGGGTAGTGGCTTCCTTGTTTCTCTGGGATGGTTGCAGGTTCATGTAGCCTCTGTCATGCCCAGGGGGATGTCAGGATCTCTTCCCTGCCCTACCTCCCAACCCCAGGTGCAGCTACTACCTGCACCCACACTCTGCCACGCTCATCCCCTCATAGTGGTACTTGAGGGTGGGCACCCCCATGTCATCCTTGTAGAGGATGGAGATGGGACTTAGTTTGGTGGGCACACAACAAGCTTTGCCCACCTTTGTGGGGAACTTAAGGTGCACCAGGGTCTGCACAATGGCATGCTTTGTGGGTGTCACGTCATCTGCTAGTGGGAAGAAGCAGCCCCCTTTACACTCGTAGGCATCATATTCCTTGGGTGCAATGATCCAGCTATCCCAACCAATGTCCTCGAAGTTCACACGCAGAGAGGTCTTCTGACAGTGGCTGCTGGCTCCAGTGCTCCTCTTCCTTCTGGCTAAAATTGACCCCACAGCCATGTGGCCCTCTATCTCCTCCTCCTCCTCCTCATGGCTCCCGCCTGCCTCCTGGTAGCCATTTTTGGGTGTCTTCCCAAGCATGGTCTCCTGCTCATGACCAATCATCTCCCTGAGCTCCAGCCTGGTCTCCTTGGTCCCATTACTGCGGTCATTGGAGAAAACAACAAAGAAGGGCAAGTTTTTGGAGCCTGGAGGGACACTGATGTCCAGTGTGTCACAGCCCTTCCTGTGACTCTCTACCATCACTTCCAGCTTATTCTTGCTCATAGTGGAGTCTGCCCTGACCCACCGCTTCACTGCACTAGATACTTCCAAGGTCTCCCAGCCCTCATCCCGAATGTCCTGAGATATCAGGAAGGTCTTGGTCCCCGAGGCACCATCCCAGGTGTCATCTCCATCTAGGACATCATAAACAACCATGTTTCCTTCCAGTCCATGAGAGGAGTCCATGTGGTTTTGACAGGAGACATAGAGACGGAGCTCAGCCCTGGTGATCTGCTCATGCCTAGGGATGGAGATGTTGAAGAGCAGGATATGTTTCTGGAAGGGGAAGTCCTCTGTGGCAGCTGTCGAGACAGCATCTGAAATGCAAGCATAGGCAGATGGACATCTGGGGGGTGTCCATTTTTACAACACCAAAGCCACGTTTCATGATTTACTGTAAGGGACATCTAGGAAGACAGATTTTGTCACTATTATCTACTCTGTTTCACTTATGTCTTTAGTAGAAGAGTGTTTGGAAAGGTTCACTTAGGATTTTCCCAGGAAAAGCAGAGGCAGGTGTCTCTAGGTGGGTCAATGGTTTCTACTGTTTATTGGACATCTGCTCTGTGCCTGGCATTGCTCCATGAGTTTGGGAGGACCTTGCAATCATTCTACTTTTACATATGCGGAGTCTGGTATTCACAACAGAGTGTACACAGATAATCAGTATCCTGTCACAAGCAAACCACAGAATACATTGTCAGCTTTAGAGCAAAGATTCTGAGGTTCTGCCTGGGGACAATGAAAGTCCATATTTAGAAAAGGTAAGAAATCTCAGCAACAAAGTGTATAACTCACTTGGAATTGTGTTAATGACTTCCATAGAAAATTAGAGTGGATTTTTAAGAGGAAAAAAATATTTAGCTCCAATGACTTTGTCATGTTAGGAAAAAAAAGATGGTTTTCTTTTAGCATCCTAATTATCTCCATTTCCCACTTCTCTTGGACTGGCACTTGATCATTGGTGTTGTCATTTGAGAGTCCCTTCTGTTACTGCCTCATCTGTGGGGGACATGTTCCCATACGCCCAGTTGTTATCTTGAAGTATGGATAGGCCCAAACCCTACCCACAGTGCTCTCTCTGCATGCACAGGTAAGTGTAATGTGCAAACTAGGTACACTAAGAGGTTAATAACAGCGAATCAATAAAATGGGAATTGTGGAAAAATGTAACACAAGTTATTTAAAACTTATGTTGTTTGTTTCTGGAATTTTATATTTAACAGTTTTGGATTATAATGGACTGAAGGAAACTGGGACCTCAGAAGTCAACAACTCACATGGGGGTGGGGGGGGTGTTCCTGTATAAGCCAACATGAGCAGAGAGCTGTGCTAAAACCCAGTGGGTAGGATGAAGAATGGAAATTCCAGTCCTAACTCTGCCCCTCAGTGGGCTTGCATCTTGGAAAGTTTGGAGTTTCTTGGTACCTCAGTTTCTTCTCCTTTAGAATCGGGCCCACTGTAACTGCCTCCTAAGTTGCTATGTCAAGGTGGCATGTGGAACTTATAGGACAGTCCCTGGCTCATAGCAGATATTCAATTAACACTTCCATGCCCCTCCCAACCCATGCACACTCAGTGCACGTGACAAAGTATATGACCCTTTACTTGGGCTCTCTATGGTCCCCTCACCCCGCATGTATGCATCATTCTAGACCTTATAGAATATAGTGAATGCTGTGGCATATCAAAACAGTGAGACCAGGCATTCATAGCCTAAGGTGTTCTTACTGTGGCATGCCTTGACAGTGGCTGTGGGACCACTTCCAGATACTTAAAAATCATCTGCCCACTGGGATTAGATCAGTGTTTCCTAGATCCTGCATGTAATGCATGCCGTTGATGTTGTTGCTGCTGTTGTTGCTGCTGCTGCTGTATGTGTGTGTGTGTGTGTGTGTGTGTGTGTGTGTGCACATTTACAGTATATGTGTCTATAGTATGTGTGGATGTGAGCAGGTGTCTCTTGTTTGGTTTTACATGTTGAACTTCCGTTCATGGAATGTGACGATTTAAGCCCCAATCAAAGAAGTCCAATCCTCCCCTAAGGCAGAGGTCATAGGCAATCCCAGGAACCCAGTGGCCTGCAAATTTTATTTAAAAATGAAGCAAGAGTTTTAACAATAAGGCAAGTTCATATGAAATTTCTGTTGGCATTCAGTTCTGAAAATGCAGCAGCATGGAGCATGTGTGGTGATCTCAAGTAGATAGGCACATGCTCTGCAGGCTGGGCAGATCCTGGACTGTGGGCTATGACCCTGAGCAGGGTGCTTTGGGCATTTACAAGTCTCTAACCCTCGTGAGGAGGAGCTCTGTGCTCCTGGTCCCTCAGAGGGAGAATAAGATAAGGGCCTGGCTGTGGGATAAGCAGCAGGGCTTGGGATGGAACCAGCCACAGGACCTTGCATGTGTGCCTAGTCTGAATTCTCTCAGCTCTAAGCACCCCCAGCTCTGTTCAGTAACTCATTTCACACACATCATTTGAGTTAGCAGACAGACCTCACCTCCATGTTCATCCTCTGGTCTTCCTAAGTCAAGGAAACTTACATTTGAAAATAATGACGCTTTCTTCTAACACTTCTCTCTAGCATAAGATTTTATCTGAGCTTAGAAAGCCCTTTTATAAGAGACAAATTGACTTGCTTTCAAAGCTTAAAAATTATACTAGTTCATTAGGGGTTAAATGAATGAACTATTTCTAAGTCAGAAGGAGACAGGAAGGGGAGAGGAGGATAAGAAGGGAAGAGGAGTCAAGAGGAAAGGATAAAGGGAAGGAGAGGGAAGGACAAGTGAGGGGAGGGGAGATGGAAGGGGAATGGGATAGAAGGGGAGAGATGAGGGAAGGAGGGGATAGGAGGCGGAGAGGGGGGAGGAGAGAAGGGAGGGATGGAGGGGAGCAGAAGGCTGGTATCCTTGATACCTACTGTGTTAAATGTGGCATGTGCTGGGGGAGGGGCCAAGTTGTCCATCAGAACCTTCTGTGATGATAGACAGGACCTATGATTTGCACTGCTCTGTAGGGAGCATTAGCCACTCACAAATGTTGGATACTTTAAATGTAGCTGGTGAAACAAAATATTTGCATTTTTACCCTGTTTCATTGCTTTTAGGGAACCTTGAGGAGCTGCATGTGGCCAGTGGTCACCCCACCTATCAGAGCCACTCCACTGTGGGCCAGTGTGTCCCTCCCTGTAGAACCCTGGGGGAAGCAGACTCTACCTTCAACGCTGAAGCTCCGCACGATGTTGGAGGCTGGAGTGGATGACTTGTCAGTGGTGTACCTGTTGTACAGGTCAATCATGTACTGGGGCGGCTCCGCTCTCGTTTTGTCCTGGGAGGGGATGCCACTCAGGTTGAGGCTGCGCAGGAAATCCACCTTCATGTTTTCCAGGAACATCTTCAGATCAAAGATACCTTCCTGTCCACCTTTGGGCAACCCCAGTGAGCTGGGGACATTTCCTCCGGAGGATTTTTGTCCCCAACTCTGCAGAGGCTTCTCCCTTGTGGGGTAGGCCAGCAGGAACAGCATAAGCATGGCCACCCACAATACCCCAGGGGACATCTTGGGCCCTGGAGGGAGACAGAAGGGCTGATGTGTGTTAGCCAGTGCAGCGAGGAGCCTGGGAGGAGCAGGCCCACATCATCCTGCTGACTGCTCTGTAGGGAGCGTGGATAGCTCAGGCTCTCCCCAACAATCCTGCAGTCTTCCACTTGTTCTTATCTGGGCGTGGATATTAGTCTTCGACCTCTTATCTAAGGCAGCTCTCTTTAATGAAGGCTATATAAACATCTGACAAACACCAGGGCTGGTGGGAAGGAGGAGGCCTACTGTAAAGGATCTGTGTTTCTCCAGGGGGTCATTGGCCCTAATTAGGATCCTTTCTCATTTCCTCCCCAGCTTGATTCAGAAGACTCTCAAGACGGGGGTGGGGGTGGCATAGACCCCCCCATCCCTTGGGTCACGGGAACAAAGAATCCAGGAAATGAGCCTGAAAAATCCTCCAAATATAGAAAAATCACAGAACACCCAGAAGATGACACAAACCTCAGGGGCCAGGCGGGTGGGGAAGGGTATCAGGACCTGGTAGTGGAGTTAGGTGGTGCCCTCTGAAGAAAGAGTTCATTAGCATTAAAGGTGGAGTGTGAACATGCCCAAATAACTTAGTATGAGGGGGTAACTTCATACCCACACAGGCTAGGGCTCCCATCCAGCCCTCTTGCTTGTTCCCTGTGGCTGTGACCAAGAGCCTATGCTTTCAGAAGATAGCTGTAAGGACTTAAGACTATGGAGTTCTCCACATGCCAGCAATTGCTGCAAGCTATGTTCAGGCTGCCATCCCTCCAGTGCTGGGTATGATTGAGCTGGAGCTGGGGAAGGAAGCCCCTTATCTCCAACAGCTACTTTCTAGTACCACAAACGTGTATCCTGAGCACCACAGCCCCAGCTCTGCCCCTAGTCTAGGAAGAGATGCAAGAGATGACTCGGCTCATGTCAGCTGTGAGGCCACCTGGGTCATCCCTTGAAGCCAGGAGACTCATGCAGTTGGCGTAAACAGGAATAGGTGGGCAGTTCTGAGACTGGATGGCCTCTGGGCATGTTGCAACCCAAGGACAGTGTTATTTTAAGAGCATGCTTAGCCTCCATCCATTTCCATCACAAGTAGCGTTAATCAAAGCAAAGAAGGAACATGGTTAAAAATACTTGGGGCATGTAGTAGCCTACTCCATAGGCACTGAACATGATGTTCCGTGCAGACAGGGCTCCTGGAGAGAGGATGCAGAGGGTTGAGAAAGTTCCTGGAGATGCAGAATAAAACGTGGCAGGCTGTAATTAGAGATCTCAGAGTGGGAGGGTGAGACCAGAAACTCTCAGTGGCCAGGCTCAGCCTGAACTTGTCCCATCCTTTAGGGATACAGCCTGGGAAGGAGGAGGACACAGCTTCTGACATGCTGCTTGTGGGTGGGAGGTGAAGTGAGCTGGACATCGATTTCATGCAAGAATTCTATGGGACTGAAAAGACAAATGGAACAGGTGCCAAATCAGGAGATGGAACTGAAGTCACAGAGCCATATATGGGCCAGGAGGAGATGGAGAATGAGGTTCTAGCCCCTGGAGCCACCAGGGTCTGTCCACATTCAATAAGTCAAGCACAAGCACCTCAGGGCAACCTGAATGAGCTCTGGGCAGGACAAAGGGCTGCTCTCCAATGTTATGTTTTAAATTTAACAGGTTCTTCCCCTATCACGGCAGTAGTGCATAATATAGAAAATTGGAAAAATGCCAAAAATAAAGAAGGAAATAAAATTCATCTACAATCTCATCTCAGAAATCCCCATAGTTAATATCAGACATGCTCAACTTTGTAAGGTCATTTCAAACTCTAGTGGCTAAGTGCTTTGAGGATTCAGGAAGTTTCAGAAAGGAGAAATTTGGTACACCCAGTATAATAGTCCCAAAGGGGTTGGAGACAATGCCTTTGTTTCCACAGTGAAACACTGCGTGCGTGCGCACGCACACACACACACACACAACATAAACACTAAAACATCTAAAATATCTGTTCAGGTCAAGTGTTGTTACAGGAGTTACCAGAAGCTTTAGGTTTTCAGGACGTTTGGATTTGGAGGCCTCAGATAAAGAAATGCAGACCTATTTACATACATACCCTGCCCAAGATGTCAGTTACATAGACTGTGATGTGGATGGTTCTCCCCAGAGCTGTTTAATGTAGCATCCCTGTTTATTTCTGGCTCTAGTTTCTTCTCACACTTGGGATATTCCTATGTTCCTCATCTTTAGTGTTTTTAATGATTTGCTTAAGATTTTCTGATCTATATAACCATGAAGTCTTATCTTCCTCTTTTTTGTATTCTCCAAATGCTCCTGGGTTTATTTTGGTCACTGAGGATGGGGATGGGATGATGTCAGCCTTCAGCTGGGAAGGAGGAGGAAGAAAGAAGGCCCATCAAGTTCTACTTGCTGCTGCTTCTCTGCCTTCGTTTTGGGAGATGAGTCCAACATCTAACGCGTGTCCGGGATGCGCTGACTGGTCTGGCTTTCTGCATAGGTCTTGTCTCTGTAGTGTGCCCCATTAGAAAACAGCTTCCTGGGGGCACAGTCCCATAGTTACTTGTTCTCTGGAAGGCATGTGTCTGAGCAGGTAGCTGGATCAAGAGAGGAGGCCTGCCATGGCCTAACTCTAATCCTAATTTGCCATCCCCACCCCCAATCTCTAGCTTTTTATAGGGAGCCTGAGTTACCAGCCCAGGCCCCTGCTTCTCTTAGGTGCTGATTTCCAGTGCCTTGCTACCATTCTTCATTAACGTTGATCTGTCTTGCTCTTCAGGAGCAAGGTACAGGTTTATCACTACCATTCCAAAGATCCCCTTCCCTCTCCTGTCACCAGCTTTGTGTTGTTGGAGCCTTAGGAAGGAGCTGTCTTGACTGGGCCACAGAAAATCTTTTGTGTGTTTATACATGTTCACATGTGGAAGTGCCCAAGCACATATGTCCATGTGTATGGAGATGAGAAGTCAACTTTGGGTGTTGTTCCTAAGAGATATAAGACATCTTTGTTTGAGATGGGGGTCCCTTCTTGAGACCTGGGACTTGCCAATTGGCTGGCCAGTGAACCCCAGGATCTGCCTGTCTCCTTCCCTAGAGCTGGGATTGTAAAACATGTTGTCTAGTTTTATATGTGGGTGCTGGGGATCAAACTCAGGTCCTCATGTTTGCATAACAAATACTTTATTTACTGAACTATCTCCTCAGTCTCAGAAAATCCTACTTACCCCCTTCCTAGGCCCCTTCCTCCTCCCCCATCTACATACTAATTCTTTTTCTAAGCAAGTTCATCTACCTGATTTTTCAAAGATCTGGTTTATAGTTGTTTTGTGTGTCTATTCCCTGACAGATCAAAAGTTGGAATAAAAATTAAAACAATACAGACTAAAGAATCTAGAATCTATTTTAGGTTTCCTTTTGAAGTCATTTAGTACTTAAGACTTGCTGTAC